CAAACCCTTCTGTGATTCTATGCTGTCACCATAACTCCAATCAATCTATGGTAATGAAAAGCTAGAACCACTTAATAGAGAATGTTAATCTCCAAGAAGCAGGGCTTTTCGGACTTGAAATCTGCCTCTCCTTCATCGAAGGCACCAAAATATTAATAAGTACTTAACTTTTAATAAGCCCAAACAGTAAACACAGCAAAGAAATGACTGGCCAAATTCGAGACTAACATTCTTAGCTTTGGGATATTCCTTCAGATTGTATCAAAACAGCACTTACTGGTTACAGGAGTCAACACAGGCAATGTTTCCCTTCGAAACTGCTTGGTGAAGCAGCAGATGCAGTGGGTCATTTAAACTAAGTCTTAAAATGACAAGTAGTTCAGGGGACTGAGGTCTGATAAATTTTGCCTAAAAGTAAGTGCAGATCAATAGGTCCCCTCCCTTCCCCTCAAGTTAGTCTGGCTTTTCAAGGCAGCTGTTGGTCCAGTAGCCTTCATGGTATCTGTAACATCCACCACATGTCTCAGGAGACAACAGCAGCAAATGGGAAATACAACTTTCTGCAATATTGTGCATCATCCCATATTTATGCAACAAATTCCTGTTTTCTTCACGAAAGCTGTTTCTGCTTAATCAAATAAATAGTAAGACAACATCACATCCTCTATTCAAGTTTTGTAACTGTGTGCAAGATCAACAAGCACCTATTTTCTGCAGGGAAGAGGGCAGTGATACCAACAGCTCATAACCATGTGCTTCCCAGACACGAACAGCTTCAGACTGAGGAAACCCTGGAGGTAGCTGCACTCTGGACAGACTGGTAACAGAGCCCTTGATGCTCATAGCAGCAGGAGTACCAGTCTGTCCAGAGTGCAGCTAACAGAGCCCTTGGTGCTCGCGGCAGCAGGCAAGACCACAGGGCTCTGTTCAGCTGATGCACAATATTGCCCACCAGTTCAGACCTTTCCTCCAGCTATTTCTGTAACTGCAGCAGCCAGCCTCACTGTCTCTCTCACCTTTCCAAGTGAAGCCTTCAGCGGGTAGTTCAAGGAATCATGTTCTGATCACTTGATTCAAGTTACCCCATGTAGAATTGTTTCATAAAGGGTAAGAAAGACATCATGTGAGGTTGTTAGGCGCTTCAAATGCTCATCAATATTTATACTTTCCTGAAGGGACTTTGGCTCCCAAGTCTCCAAATGACTTAAGATGAAAATCCCTAGGTCCTACATCCTTAAAAAGCATTATCCAGACACACACAGCTCCAACCTGAATGCTGACAAGAAGAATCATAGAATCACAGAACGGTTTGGGTTGGAAGGGACCTTAAAGACCATCTAGTTCCAACCCCCCTGCCATGGGCAGGGACACCTTCCACTAGACCAGGTTGCTCAAAGCCTCATCCAGCCTGGCCTTGAACACTTCCAGGGATGGGGCATCCACAGCTTCTCTGGGCAACCTGTTCCAGTGCCTCACCACCCTCTCTGGGAAGAACTTCTTCCTGGTATCTAATCTAAACCTCCCTGCTTTCAATTTAAACCCGTTACCCCTTGTCCTGTCACTACAGACCCTTGTAAAAAGTCCCCCCCAGCTCCCTTGTAGCCCCTTCAGGTACTGGAAGGTGCTATAAGGTCTCCCCGGAGCCTTCTCTTCTCCAGGCTGAACAAGCCCAACTCTCTCAGCCTGTCCCCATAGCAGAGGGGCTCCAGCCCTCGGAGCATCTTCGTGGCCTCCTTTGGGGGAGAGAGACCACTCCCTCCCCCTGCAGCACAAGCCTTAGCCTCCTCACTGTAATCTCCTGCAGCTGAGCTGGGATCAACTAAACTTACTCAGCATCAGAGGGACAGAGCGTAGCAACATCCGCTTTGCTTCACAATTTGAGCAGACAACCCTGTGATTTTGAGAGTCTGAGGCCTCGAAGTGATGGTAAAGCTGCTGACATTGAGCCAGATACCTACGCATTGTCACAGAACAGTGCCAAGCTTCCCCAGAGCAGTGTGCAACCACCACTTTGAACAGAGCGAGAACTACCTAGTTCCCTCTCCATTACAAACCTCATTTCTCTGCCTTCTCTGAAGAGCAGCTGATACCCAGCAATATACCAGTTCTGGAGACCTTCCCAAGACTCTGCAGGCCAGTCCCCATGCTAGGGACCTGGTGGGAAGGAGAACTGGCTGCAAAACCAGCTCCAGTTACAGAATAGCTGTTTAGAGGGACCAGTCCAAACTGCTAATTTGTATCCAACTACATTTAACTTGTCAAAGATCCCCCTTTCATATGCCCAGTTCTCCAATCTTCTTTGTGCAAGACCTCAAAACCTTGAGATCAAGACACTAGACACACAAGCAAAGAGCGGGGTGCAGCAACTCAAGTACTTTTCAAGGTGGGCCTCTTGGTGCCTTCAGTTCTCGCTCGATGCCAGGTCCCCTTTTCGTCTCAGCTTCCCCGAGCTCCAGCCTTGCCGTGGCTAGGTAAGCAGTACCCATCCAACCTCCTCAGCCTCCTGTCAGCCAGAGCGGCAAGTTCCCGCACCACAGCAATCTGACCCCATTGTTGTATTAACGCGTGCCATCTGCGGTTCTTTCCTTAACTTACGTCTACTGGAAGAAATGACCAAGAGAATGGAAGACTTGGAAAACAGGCTAAAATACTGACCGAAGTTTAAAGTGTATACGACACTGTATATTTATACATACAAATTTGTCAGAGCTATTTTCTTAAACTAGTTCAAAGTAAAATAACAAATCCTTGTGTCTGAAGTCGAAGAGTGTTTTGGATCCCTTCACCTATATACCAGGCTTTCTGTCTTGCATTGATTGCGGATAAGAAATACTGAAAAAAGTTATATCTATAAATAATTTAGTAATTAGCAAAAATTCTAATTAAGCAGAACTAAACAACTGAAATAAGCTATGCAAAATAATAAAATGCTGTTATTTTTTGAAGTGAAAAATACATGTTTTCAAGTACTTTTTAAGTTACAATTTATTTGGCTTGCTTTTCACCATTTCCCTCCTCCACCCACTCTAGCATTTTAAGCACCCTGTCTGTGCAGGTATAGTTAGTTCTACGCACGCATACATATATAAAACAGTGAACAGCACCCAGAGCCATTACGTTTCACTTACATTCTTCCAACAGACTACTGACATCAGTTGTAAGACAGAAATGTATACATTTGTGCTGAAACTGGGATGAAAGTCAGCGAGCCAAGTAGGAGGCCCGATTGACTACTGGGGTGTCACAATCCGAAGTTTCAAGTGCTTTTTCTCTTGCCACATCCAGGCCATACAACTTCCTACCACTCCCTGGTCAGCATCGAGCGATTCCCTAACTTTCCTAATTGCATTTAATGTATTTTGATTCTGAAACCATTCTTCACGCAGTACAACCGCCGTGCACCTCTCTGTTAAACATTAAGGCACAACAGTAAACTGCTTCCAGACATTCTAACCAAGTAAAGTGCCTTCAAGTTTGACTCCTTTCCCCTTAGCAGCAACAGCATTCTTCCGCTTCCTCGTCACACTACCAGCAGCATCTACACTCTCATGATCTGATCCAAATTTGGCGTTTCATAGAGACACCAGCACTTCCTCCTTTGCTCTGACACGTGTTGGCTCAGCTCTTTACTGTCCCCAAATGGAAATACACAGGTCCATCCATTCTATACCAGGAGCAGGTGCAGCAAAACTAGATGAAACGATCCCGGGTAAGCCCGAAAGTGCGCACAGATCTGTTACAGCCAATTTCAAAGGTACCCTGTGCTTTGGCATACTTTGGCAGAAGACAAGTTCTGCAAGGGTACGGGTACACACTGCTTGTTCATTAGGCGTTTCTTTTACCGCATGTCAGCGGAGAGCTGGCTCCTCAGTTAATAATCACTAGTAATAAGGATCATCCTGCAGTCACAATCTCGCACAAGAGAGGCACAAATCATTAAGATACCAGTGTTTTCAGCAACAGTGACTTGAGAACCCCAACTAATCTGTCTAACATCTTCAAAAACCTAAAATTAAAAAGGAACTAGTTTAAAATGAGCTGTAATAACTGGTATCCTATTGAAAGTTGCATGTTCTACATCATGCCTAGCAGCTATCTGATTTGCCATTTGATAGATATTCTCCTGGAATTCAAGGACAAAAGGGGATGATTTGCATTACTGCTTTGTGATTGATTTGGTAAAAGTGTGATCTTGTTTTTTTCCTAGCTTAAGTAAACCCTTGGGGGTACCCCACCAGCATCCCAAATTTGCCACCTTACCTCACATTACGACTTGGTTTTGCATCAGCACTCCAAAGCCAAGAACTAAGGAAACCCTAGCCCGTTGGGATTTGGCACGACACTTGCCATCATCAAGTCTTAACTCCACTTACCTCTCAAGACCCGCAACTTCTAGAGAAAGAAACAGGCAAGCTTTGTCCTGTGAAGGTTATTTTTAACAGAACAGGAAACACAGCAGTAGAAGTGAGTCTTCCTTTATATAGTTTGCTCCCTAAAACCAGCAAAGGTATAATACAAATTTTTCTTAAAAGAGATCTGTAACCAGTTTTATTGTCGAAATAACACCTTTACAGCATTTACTTCTCACTGGTTTGTTCTGGCATGCTTCTGATGATGTCAGAGTCACCTGTAAAACAAAGATATTGTTACAAGAGGATCCACACAAAGTTCTGTTTTCAGCAATAAACCAAAAAGTTAAAAAGAACACAAAAACCACAATGCACTGATTCTACAAATAGGTAACAACTTAAAGGCAGTGCAAAAACAGTCTGTTCAGAAAAAAAGCAACTAATTTTCATGGCTTGATTAAAAAAAACAACCTTGTAACTATCTTGCCAATCCATACATAGTATTTTTACAATAATATGTACCTGTTACTAGCATTTACAAAGCCAGTACTAGAGCAACAATCTAGTCCTGGAGGACACAATGCATAGTTTTAATATAGCGAATGTCTAGCCTCCCCTGATCACGAAAACATCAGGACAGCGAGAATATTCGCAGCATATTACATTACACAGCACTAAGATTTACTTGCTTACAGTTAGCACCCCCGGCCAAAAGCAAACCCAAAAGTACCATTTTTGAAAATGACGTTTAGAGCTAGTATCTGAGCACAAGCAACGGAATACTTTTCTGAAAAAACAGTGAATTCAGATCAATGTCTCTCAGGGAAGAGTCAGTAAAACTTATTACTGAAATCGCTGAATCCATGCGTATGCATTTTGGTCAAAAAACAGAACAAAATATTGATTCTTCTCTTTGATTTTGGAAAGAGGATGAGAAGTCACCTAATCTGCAGTCTATATGAGGAACCCAACCAATTCTCTGGGACAAAGAGTGCTTCCTAACCACAGCAATTACACACAGATGTTTAATATAATTTTCAACCCTGGGTTAGCATCCACCTGCCCATAGGTTATTTTTGTACATATCATTCCGGGAAGCAGACAACTCACAATCCTTTGTCTCAGATTAAGACCAGTCAAACAAGGCCGATGCACACCGCATGTTGCACCGGTTCATGTTCTAGGCGATGGGCTCAGAAACATGTACCACAAAGTTGTTTCCCAGCCACCGAAGCCTCATTTCTGTCCGCCTGTCGGTCAATATGCACGCTCACAGGGTTTAGCAGTAATGGGAGCTGTGCTCAAAACACAAGCAGCAGTAATTCCAAGTTCTGAGAAGCTGGGACTTGCAAAAGAACAGGATCTCGGTCAGAAGGAATTACGACTGAGTTAAACCCATTGCTGTCCTTTCTCAAAGCATGTCATCACCCCTGCGCCTTGCCTGCTCAGTGCTGCTACTCAGAGGTGAAGGGAGGAACCACTGACACCCCCCCATTTGGTCACTATCCTGGGAGAGTCGTACCTGGGTCAATGATGGCCAGTGTGCACACTCTGTAGTATTTTCCGCACGCCGTGCCCAGCTCAATGTTGTTGCCGCTATAGTGATGGACGCCGGTCTTGGCAAGCATAGCGTAGTACTCGATCTCCGACTTTCTGCAATTCAAGAGCTGCATGTTACAGCGCTGACAAACAACTCTGAGGGACTCTAACACAGTGAGAGCACTCCGAACCTTACAGTCTTCCTCACCACCCAGAAACACACACCTGTTCCTTCCCAGACAACATCACCACTATGTTCTGGATAAGGGTTCCTGAGCCACAAGTGTGCTGAAGGCATGTAACAGCAAACCCCATTTTGGGGTGTAAATCCTTGAGGTTGCTCCTATGCATGCTCATTTCTACAGGAAAGAAGAGGATTCGGCACTACCAGACTTCGGAAGCGTTGTAGAAGCTAACCCAAAGTGCGTAAACGATGATGCTCATTAACGCTGATACCCAGTGGCCAGATGCTGAACAGAGCTCTGACCACCGCTGCTGTGAAAGAAACTGGGTCATTTTAAGTCAATTGATAGCGCCTTCTCTCCCAGCTTCCACCAGGAGATTCTAGTGATCAATATTGTTCCTCAAGCACTTTTGGTACCCCCGTAAACATACTGCCTACTGCAACACTGGAATATGCCAGCAAAGCATCCTGGATTATTAATTCACAGTAGTGATTAACATGAAGCACATCCTGTACTTGCACAGAACCTGCTTTAGTTTTACAGAGAATTGTTTTCTCATACATCTCCTTACCTCAAAGCAGGACAGTTGTTGGCTAGTATGACCAACTTGGCCTTGCCCTGCCGAATCATTTTCAGAGTCTGTTTGTATCCTAGCACATATTTACCACTTTTCATAACCAGCTGAAGCCTGGAGTTTATGGACTCTAGGGACTTTTTCTGGGGGGAAAAAAAAAGAAAAAAAGATGGAGAACATCATTATTGCGTGGTACTGAACATTTTGCAAAATAGCAGAGAACATAAGGAAATGAAGAAATTTCAAATATGAGCAAGCAGTCTTTTAATAATCTCCCTCTAATTTACAACGTGGAATAAAAAAACCAAAAACTTGTGGATAAGGACGATATGTGTATGAGAAACTATGACATTATGACGCTGGAAAACAGCATCATAAAAATCTCTCCTCCACCTATCTTACAACAGGAAAATGCATCTTAAAGCACTGTTGCTGCTATCTACATTAATCAGCAACCTCCAGGTGCATTTGACAGGCCTTTATCTGACAGTCTCAGCTAGCAAATACCAATTCTGCCTTGCAAACCTAAATATGTCTCTTCCCGGGGCATGCGCTATCAGTTAGCAAAAACAGGTAAACACATGCAACACGACCTGATGCTTCAACAGGCGAATGCAGTGCTCATGACAGCGGGTAAGTGCATTTGAATGAACACCACCATTTAACCATTTAATCCATACTTGCCAGAGTCCCTCTACAATGATCATAGAATGGTTTGGGTTG